AGAGAGAGAGAGAGAGAGAGAGAGAGAGAGAGAGAAAGAGAAAGGGGAAAATCTTCATCAACTGACTACTGACGATGATGCTGCTACTACAACCACCACCACCACCACCACTACCACCACAACAACCGGCCAGCACCAATGATGGACGAGCCAGACAGTCTAACGAGATGAGCAGCGCCCCCTCGCGGCTGTGTCCGGCCCAGCAGCCTTGCCTGCGCACAGGTAACACGGCGCACCGTGTCCGTCTGGCCAGCCAATCAGCCAGGAATGTAGGACATGTTCCCGGCGTCTGCCTCTGTCCGGACTGCCCACTCGGCCCGCTGGACTCTCTCTCTCCATCTGTCTCACACTTCGGACCCATCCGTCATTCCATTTGCCTTTGACTCTCTCCACCTTCTTTCTATCCTTTTCATCCTGTGTCCCCATCCTTCATTCTATTTCCCCCCCGCTCCATACATCCCCTGTTTGGTTCACTCTTTACTACCGTCTTTCTATCCTTTTCGTCCTGTGTCCCCATCCTTCATTCTATTTCCCCCGTCCCATACATCCCCTGTTTGGCTCACTCTTTACTACCGTCTTTCTATCCTTTTCCTCTCGTGTCCCCGTCCTTCATTCCATTTCCCAGTTCCATAATATACCCTCTGTTTGGTATTTAAGTCGTTCATTCACTCTTTACCTTCTTTCTATCCTTTTCCTCTCGTGTCCCCTTCCTTTATTCTACATTTGTACTTCCTCGTTCCATTCCTCTGTTTGGTTCTCCAGTCATGAACTCTTTACTACCATCTTTCTATCCTTTTCCTCCAGCATCCCCATCCTTCGTTCCAGTTCCACATCGAATGTTATCCCATATTTGGTTCTTAGGTCTCTTGACGCTCTATCTTTTCTTCCTGTGCCTTCTGTCTATCCTTTTCCTCCAGTGTCCCCATCCGTCATTCCATTTCCAAGTCCCACAGCTTATGTTCAGTGCTTAAGTCTTTCGCCAGTGCACCTTTTTTTCTGTGCCTTCTTTCTATCCCTTTTCTCCGAATTCCCTATCAGTCATTTGGAAAAAAAATTCTAGACATACTTTTTAAAAAATCTGTAAGTGATCTATTACACTAATATACACGTATTAGCTTTTATTTGTTCTCAGGACTCTGACTTCGTACTTTCTCTCGTTCAGTCTCACTCTTCAAGCTCATCCGTCACCCTATTTCCGCGTCCTGCTTCCTCCTTTTGATCATTTAGCCTTTGGCTCTGTACTTTCTTTCTATCGTTTTCTTCCATTGCATGTACCCATATGTCTTTCAGTTTGGTGGTCAAGTCACTTATCATTCCTCGTTCTCTCTCTCCATCCACCTCATATTTTGATTCCTCCGTTTTGTTTTAAAGTCTTTTCTCAACAAATCCCTTATAGTAACCCTTATTAGTAGTGTAAACTCGGTCTTCTTTCTTTCTTTATTTCTTACTTACTTTCTGTCTTTAACCTATCTCACACTTCATTGTCGCACGAAAGTAACCTGAGTTTGGTTCTCGAGTGGGGAGGAAAATTCTATTAGACGAATAAACGGAAAACGTCCACTTCTTAGTATTGGCTCATTAGCATCGGTTGTTCTCCAGATATATTGTACTTGTTTCTGAGAATTTTGTTCCCTAATATTGTAAACATGAAAAGAGAAAAAAGACGCTTTGACATGTATGAGACTAACAAACATAATACTCGTACGTCTGCTTGACAGTATCGACGCAGTGTTTGTTTGCTTGTTTCCATCTTAACCATCTTGTATAGGTATACTTACGACCTTAGAGCATGCATCAAAATAACATTGAGGGTGTATCAAGTTACGATTATTGTTTATATTGCTGCTCATTTATATTATGCATTTTAAGCCTACAATAAAGATGTATCTAATCGTATCTTAAAAGAAACATATCGACACAATAATGATCATATTTTAGTGCAGGTCAAAAGTAAGACAAAAAGGACTGAAACAACAGGGTGAAAGTAAAAAAGTAGTAGATAGGACCTACCAATCGCGCCCTCCAATCCCCCGCACATTGACGTATACACACTCATCTGTCAGAACGCTGTGCTTGCACCTCAGAATCTGCTCACTATTATTGTTGACGGTGAAAGAGAATAACTTTCTCTCTCTCTCTCTCTCTCTCTCTCTCTCTCTCTCTCTCTCTC